GCTAACTCACTAATGGTGAACATGTGAGTTTGTTGATAAACCATCAGGCACAACAGTGATAAACAACTTTTGCGAGGGAACACAAAAGGTATTGTGAGGTAACGCAATATTATTGCGTGGGAACACAAAAGAAAAAAAATCTCCCATGTCCCCTCTCAGGCTCCGTATAAAACAGAACCAGCTTGGTAAATTATAAAAAAACATTACCAATTATTTTAATATTTGAGACAATTTACAGTCATCCTACATACTGTGTGTTCACATTTTTAAGACCTCAGAAAGATCGATTTAAGACTTTTTGAGGCTAATTAAGACCTTATATTTGGATTGACAAATTCAATGCCTTTTAAGCCTTTTAATGCAGGAACCTTGTTAAAAATCTKATTGGACCGGTTCTGATTTAACTTATTTATTATGAATTTTAGAATCCTTCTGCCTCTTTGCTAAATCTGGATTAAAAAACAAACAAACTCATTTTTGCTATTCTTATGCAAATCGTTAAGTTTTTGTAATTCTTTCAGTTTCAGCTGTTTCCTACAACAGTAGGACCATTTTTAAGGAGAAAAATAATCAAGGAACTTCTCTGAGCTGAAAGTCATGAATTTGTGAGAAAACACTTAATAAATTGTTGTTTTTCTGTTTATGATTATTCTGGATGCTCCTATGTTGCTTCAGTCAGTCCAGTTCTCTCACCTCTGTTCAGAAAATGAACTGAAATCACTGCTTATTGAAGGTTTACAAGTCAAATCTGTTTCACAAATCACACAATTGCTTTGAAATATTCTACAATCACAGTGTAATCTAATCCAGGTTTGAAGGTTTAAAAACTGGAGCAGATTAAWGAGAAAACTTGTTTTTTGTAATTTTCTGACTTTACGTCAGAAGATATTTAGTTTAAATATGAAAAGTTTTTGTCTTTAATCGCCGAAATGTCTGAGTTTTTTCTTGCAAATTTATATTTGGAGCTCAGAAAATTTCTAAAATCTTAACATTTCTCAGTATTTTTGGCCAGGATTGACTCCTAATACAGTTGTTTTCTGCCTTTTATTGTTTACGTATTTTTAGCAAATTTTGTCTGTTTTTTTCAGCTAAATTCACTTTTTTGTGATTATTTTAGCTTTTTACTGCCTAATTTAGTAAACGTGTTTTTGTACTTATGCTAATTTAAACTTTCAGTTACATTTCAGCTATATTTCTGTCAACTATAGCTGTTTTATCAGTCCTGTTTTCTTTCTTTCTGCTGTTCAAATTTAACTCACTTTAACACTTCTGCCATTAAAGCTTTTCAACTTGACTTCAGCTTCTTCAGCTCAAATCTTTCAGCTAAAATCTTACAGCTAAAATCTTTCAGCTAAAATCTTTCAGCTAAAATCTTTCAGCTAAAATCTTTCAGCTAAAATCTTACAGCTAAAATCTTTCAGCTAAAATCTTTCAGCGTTATACGTTCAGGCTGCACTC